TGGTATTTTATTTTACACTTTTCAAGGTTCTAGGTTCTTTATTGTCATTCGCATCACATGTGGTACATGAGGTGGAACGAAATGGTGTACTCAAGTTATGCCCAAAAATATAGAGTATAAAAAGAAACAGTATATAAGGATCACGCTAAACAGTAATGGTGTAGAATAACGACACGGTGTATTAAACAGCAAACGAACAACTTTTATTGTGTGCTTTAGAATTTCTTTTTATTTATTTTTCTATTTTTAGCGAGTCGAATCAGTTCTTCTCATCCTGAACATTTCATTGCATTGTTGACCTGTTGTCAAACTGCATATGACACATAAACAAACATAACACAACAAGAAGTAGTCTGACCAACAGCTCTCCTTGTGTGAATAGAGCACGCTCCGATTCTCTCATGCACCCTCCCCCCCAGCTCCTGCAGGTAAGGGGCGTTCCACTTCAGGATAAATTGAGATTACAAATTGGTCAGTTACTAACGAACCTACTGAACTGAGGGACAGGTGGCGTCAAGAATCTGACTTGTGCAAAAAAAATCTGAATTTACTGGCCTGTTTGTGTCATTTATTCCAAATTCATTCAATATTTTGTTGAATCTAAGGTTTGAGAACTGAACTTTCTTACTTATGTTTTTATTTTTCATGGGTGCGGAGTTAACATTTAGGGGTGCTTGAGCACCCCCCCCCCCAAAAAAAAGGTAAAATGGCCACTGGTGTGAACCTTCACATCCTGTAGTCTGCGTTTTACTACATGCAAGTTTTAACTTGATTATCATCATAACTTTATTTCCTTAACCTGATGACTAAACAATTCCTGTATCACATGCAGCGAACTCGTAGCTGCCTTCGGTTTCTTTCTCCCCCCTCACCTGAATCAGATTTATTCACATCAAAGTGAGATGTTAATTGTTCAGGTACGGCTTTAAAACGACAGCTCATCTTCAGAACGGAAGCTGAAGAAACGCCACCCAGCACAAAGTAAACAAACGTGCTCTGCTGTCAGGTGTCCCACAGAGAGCGGTTCTTGGGCACCGCTAGCTGCAGCTCTGCAGCTACGAGTGGAGGAAACTGTCCGCCACACAGGATGTGACGCAGCTGCTGATTGTTTAGACGAGTGAAGCGCGTCAGACGTAGAAGACCTCGGTGGAAACAAACCTGAATTAAAACCCACAAAGACGAACCTCTGATCAAACTGCTGCTAGGAACTGGAAACATGACCGTTTGTTGAATCTTTCAAGTTTTGTTATGGCCTGCTGCATACGTTTGTCTGTTAGCAAAATATCTCATGAACCACTGGACAGGAAATAATAATTTGAAGTACATCGACATCTGATTAGGTTTTGCAGCCAGCTTCATCTGAAACAGTCGACACGGTCAACGAACCGTGCAAAACGCCAAAACAGCTCCAATTCAGTCCGTTACACAGAGATTCGGCTAACGTTTGATGTGGTTGTAGCTGAGGGTCATTCACAACACGTAGTCCGAGGGCTACTCGTTGACAAGATCTTTAAATCTTCTGCATGAACCGCTGGAGTTACGTCTCTTTGTCTGTTAGCAAAACATCTTATAAAGCACTGGACGTATGTAATAAAACGTTCAGAAGGTAATCGTTGGATGTACGTCTCTCTCATTAGCCAGCGCTAATCAACGTTAGCCAAAACACAAAATAGCCATCAGTTTGACAGACACGCAGCTAAAACGAGCTGTGGTAGTAGCTGGGAATCATCCCCATTTAAGCACTTTAAGCACTTTAAGCAGGGAGGACACCCTGGACATGTCTCCAGTCCATCACAGGGACAGAGACAAACGAGACAAACAACCATTCTCTCTCTCACCTAGGGACAATTCAGAGTTACCATCAGTCTAACATACCTGTTTTTGATCTGTGAGAGGAAACCGGAGCACCCGGAGAAAACCCACACAGCACGGAGAGAACATGCAAACTCCACCCAGAAAGGTCCCGGGACAGGATTTGAACCAGCGACCTTCTTGCTGAGAGGCAGCAGCTCTACCGACTGTGCCACAGTGCCATCCATAGACTAACTTAAATAGCAAAAATAAAATCTGCCGGTAAATAAAACTTTATTTTTTCTATGCAGCCCAGTACCAAATGAATCCAAGGTCCGGTTCGGGTCACCGAACCGGCGACTGTGGACCCCTGGTCCAAACCTCTGGCATGGAAGGCGGCGGGCGATATGCAGCGATTCCAGAAACGCTGGCCCTTCCATTTTAAACAGCTGTAAACATCTGTACGTAGCACAAGAGAAGAAGAACGGCGGCAGCGTCTCCACTCGTGCGCTGCTGGCACTTTGAAAACTCACTACAGCTGATCCGGTTCAGCAGCAGCTGCAGAGTCCTGCTGATTTACTGGTTTTGGCAAAAAGGAAAGCTCTTTGTGACCAACATGCTGTTTTTCATCCACCGCCACAAGTGTGACAACGATAATAAACCTCTTCAGGCGTCTCTTTTGACTCGAGCTTTAACAGTAAATGGACGGACTGTGCCAACACTTTACTTTCTTTCTCGCAGGCTAAAACTTTTGTTTTCTGGGGGTTAAAGTCAGTATTTTTAGTCACAAGGCCCCAGGGAGAACTATTGGTTTCCACTTTCTGTTAAAACGACCCTCGTTTAGTAAAGCTGTCACATGTTTGCCCTGCAGTCCAAAGTTCTTGGACTGTTCATCCAGATTTTACAGAACAAACACTCTGCAGGCAGCTAATCCCTTTTTTAATGCTGGTTTTTATTTTAATAAAAGACGTTTATGTGTGAGCGAGCACGGTGTTACAGCTGCTAGTGTTCCTGAGCGAATGAAGGATAGAGATGAAGTGAGATGACCACAAACTTCCTTCTGCGCTCGAGTTTTCCGTCATGGACAGGACACATTGCTGAAATTATTTGCACTTCCACGGCAGCTGTGCCTCTGAGAAATGTTTGTAAAACTACACTTCCCCCTGCTGCCTCCGTCTCTCTCAGCCAAGCAGAGATTTCAAGTTCAGCTCCAAAACACCGTTCCCCAGATCAATGCAAACGTGACAACAACGTCAGGGATCGTTGACTTAACTGATCACGAAGAGTCACTTGGTAATAATGGAAAAATCAATTTCACGTGAGGAAGTCATCAAATGAACTTGTAAATTAAATAAACTGCGCACAAAACATCAAGCTGGATTATTTACAATCAAAATACCTTCAAACAGAATAAAGCATGGACTTCATCACTCCTGCTGTGGGCGACACGAAAATCATCTTCAGTTAGATCGTTTTTATTATTATCTTCTTTTAGATTAAAATTAGGGTATAACCGGGCTAATGGACAGACACGTTTGAACAAACACAATAATCTGGACTACGGTCCTCTACTCCAGATGTGCGTCCACATTCATTCTTAACATCCTAATTTGGCATTTAAAAAAGAAACTGTCCAGATGACCTGACTGAAAATTGTTGGATTGTACACCTGGATTATTGAGCATGGACTTTTTTTTTTTGCTAAGTCAGTGTCTGCAGACGACTGGTTTGTCTGTGTACTTTCGCAATACTTTATTAAACTTTTAAAACGAAGAAACGAGACTAAGTCCCAAAAACATGTATTTCCATTAAAATTCATCTGGAATTGTTTAATATAGAATATCTTAAACATGTCATAAACATGTAACGATCTCTGTGTGACACAGAAATTCACATGTTTATGTTAATTAAAGTTCTGTGTTGTGGCTGCTGGTCCGGCCACAACAGCATGCTAACTCTCTGCTAAGCAAAAGGTCAAACTTAGCTAATTTTGACCTTAGCGAGCTCCAAGCTACAGTTCTGTCATTTCTACAAATACTGTGATCAAACTGGACGTGGTAGTAGCTGAGCTTTCCCCGGCAACAACTCTGAGTGCTTTGAGTAAAACTTTGGCATGCAGCGGGCGATATGCATTCATTGAAGCGGCTACATTTCCCTTTTTTTAAAACCTGCTTTTCCGTAGAGCGTTAGTAGGGGGGAGCTGGCGGTGGCTAACCCAATTCAAGGTCCGTCCCCCCCCCCCCCCAGCTAATCATTAGCCAACGGGAAAAAGTTACAAATCAGTCGCAACGTATAACGGTGAGAAATAAAACATGAAGCTACGACTTCCTCCTGATGGTTTCTTGAATCTGGAAGTTGAATCGTTACGTGGGACGAAAAGAACTCTAAAGATTGTTCAGTTCCTCTAAAGTGGGGATTTCTAGACACCCCCCCCCCCCACCACCACCACCACCACCAATGGTCTGCAGCCTCTTTCTCCATACTCCATGATCTATGACTGATACATTAGACTTCAAAGAAGACTGGACTGCCCCTTTGCCTCAGCCGTGCTGAGTTGAGGGTTCAAATCTGACCCAGTGCCTGGCTCCATGTTGGGTTGTTTTGAAGCCAGCGGTTTTCAACGGGCACATCCGTTGACCGTGCGGGAGCAGGTCCAGGTCAGAGGTCCAGGTGACCAGCAGCAGGTACACGCACAGGAACTGGACACCTGCTTGGGTTGCTGCCTCTGGAAAGAGGAGTGCTGGCCCTTTAAAAGCTAAGATGGTGTCCTGCAAGCTGCATTAGCCGCCTTCCGTTTCCTCCCTGAGATCTCAGCATTTGAAATTGAACCTGAATTACCGTCACACACACACACACACACACACACACACACACACACACAGAGAGAGAGAGAGAGAGAGAGAGAGAGAGAGAGAGGCAGATCCAGTCCAGAGGAGATGCAGAAGCTTCCGTGCTGAGTGACAGGACTCTGTGTACCATCCATGCACTTGCTCTGCAACGAGGTCGCTGTTACAAAACTCCTCCACTGATTGCAACACGAACCGCCTGCCTGCCTCAGATGATGCCCCCCCCCGGGTCAGAGACACATCCTCACTGACATTCATTGAAAATGTGGCCCCTGTCAGGTTGGCAGCTCTGCTTGCGCACAGGCAGAGGAGGGGGGGTCCTGTCCCTGTCGGACCAGGGCTAAGCCAAGAAGGTGCACTTACTTTTTTGTTACGGGTCTCCGTGTGCATCTCGGTTGCCGGAGCGGCGCGGCGGAGGGGTGGAGCAGCAGGAGAGGGGGGTCGGTCGGGGGGGAGCTTTGGGTGTAGCTCTATCTGTACTGTCAGGGGGAGAGACAGAGAGGAGGAAAAGGGAGGGGAGGGCTATTTTTCCACCTTTACAGTCAGTTTTCCAGGGTGTCTTTTCAGTTCATGTCCGCAGCGTCGAAGGTTCCCCTCCCCACAAATAAAGACACGAGCAGTCAGCCTCCGTGCGCGTCTCCTCTCGCTCTGTCGGCTTGTTGTTGCCGTGAATTCAAGGGCTGGGCTCTCTCTCTCAGCCTTTTCCTCCTCCGCCTCTCCCTGCTTGTGACCCCACCCTGCGTCCCCACCCCTCATCTCTCTGTCAGTCAGGAGGAGCTGCGCAGCCCTGCAGAGGAGCGGAGCGGAGCCGGCAGGCGGCTGCAGGCAGGCGGCCAGGAGCGCGCGCACGGGCGGGGGTGCAGGGGCTGCGTGCAATCAGCAGCTCTCCCACCAGGCAGTCCATGTATGTCACCTTAATGACGTCAGCCGCAGGGCCCGTCTGGGTGAGGAGGGTGGGGTGCGAGCCGTTGGGTGGATACGGCTTTGCAGCATTACCTGCGCTGCCCAGGACGCAGGAGCAGTCATCTCCGGTGAAAGACACGCAGTCACACCCTTAGGAATAAAGCAAGGGTGTGGTGCTTGCGAGGATTTTTATGTTCTTTATGTCCTTATGCAATTTAGTTTTCCACAACTGAACAAAAATGCACGCATGTTGAGACTGATTTGGATTTCTTTTTGATGAGCAACACTGACTGTGAAAAACTATACTCACAAGAATGGGCTTTAGCTACAGCCAGAGAGCTTCTTCTTGGGGTGTAATTTGTTTTATCTTATCGTTTGATTAAATTATTACATTTTTTTATTTATTAAAAGTGTACAAATTGCACAATCTGCGTGATTTATGTCTTTATTTTCCGTGACCTTAAACGTAAAGTAAACCTCTTACCTTGGCAGTCTTTCACGACGAAGATCAACTACGTTTCCCAGGATTCCACACCGGAACTGGACCTCTGAACGGAAATCATGCGAAGGTAAACAATCTTCCCAGTTCCAGGAATAATTGACCGTGACTTGAAGCAGTTCGGTTTTAGACCCGGATTAGTTTGTAATTTTTATATGAAACTATAGGTTTAAAAACGTTACGTAGCCGTTGCGTCGGTTATTGTGTCTGCTTCAGGTTGTCGTTCAGCTGTTGTCATGGAGACAACCGTCCAAGCTAGCGCTAAGCTAACCCTAGCTAGCTGTTAGCCGATAGCGGTTAAACGTTCATTCTGTGGTTTTGTTAGAACAAAAACATGTTGTGAGCCCGATTTAGTTTACCTTTTGTGTGAAACTACAAGCGAAAAGAGATACATAGCCATTGCGTCGTTCATTTAGTTTGATTCAAAGACTGTTGTCATGGAGACACTTCCAAGCTAGCGCTAGGCTAACGCTAGTTAACGGTTCGGTTGTTAAATGTTTTACTGTATTTAGTTTCGTTAGGAGGTGCAACAGTAACGTAACATATCAGCTTTATATGATTTTTCTAGAAAAAGTTACTGCTAAATAAAATTAAAGTTAGGGTAATTCAATACTTGATTTAAAACCTTACCAGCAATGCACACATAAAACCACACAGACATAGATTACACACAGTAACAAGGTTTTTGTATAGAAAATAAATTACTAAATGTACCTTAGTCACAATTGTTGGCAGTTGCTACTTATATATGGGTCATTATTCATTCTGCCTGTGAAACACAAGAACCCTGACTATTTTTATCCTTATACAGGGTTATTTAAGTACATGTATTCATGATTAGGCGTGTTCAAGGTTAATGTTATCCCCAAAGGACAACTACCGTAGGTACACAACTAGCAGTAGAAGAATATAACATATTTACTGTTACATATTATGTTTGATAAGTTGACGTCAGAGGTAATAAAGTACTGTTTTATCTAGTTTGTTTTACCTTTGAGTGTATATTTGCCCTGACAGAAGCAGAAATAACTCCTCAATGGGTGCACCACTGTGTCTGATTTTGTCTGGAACTATTAAAATTCTTCACCAGCAAAAGCTGAACGTGGTGTTAACATGTCCCAGTATATGTTTTATTTATTTAATTAAAACAGTTGATAACAATCAATAATTAATGCTTCTCGGTGATGGGATGGATACCCAGCTCTGAAACCAGGATAAGATGTCAACCTGTAAACACACACCCAGTCAGCACCTTCAGTTGAACATTTGCAACAACAAAAGTGATTCTGATAATCAAGAAAACATTATAGTTCCAAACAGTGTAGAAAATGGCAACAACAGCAAAAGATCAAGAGAGAGTATACAATTTAATTTTTTTTTTATGAGACGCTTCAGGTCATAGCGCTCTGTACAAAAAAATCATAGAAATGTATTTTTTTGTCTGTTAATTAATCATCTAAACGCTGACAAATGAATCACCCAAGCATGAAACAGACGACTAAAGACGTGAGCCGGAGTTGTGTCATTTTTCAATGAATCTGTGCTCATTTCACCGTTTTCCTTAATAAAGGAGGAAAAAAGAAAAAGTTGTATTTTGTTACTTAAACGTCACTTCAAACCAAATCTGTCAGTAAAAATCACTGCAACAATGCATGTTTGTGACAATGATGATAAATATTTTAGCTAAACTGTTGTGTTTTCTAACCACTCATTTAATAATTATTACTATTTGTTCATATGTTTATTTAAATCAAATGCTCTGAAAGTTTAAAACATTTAACATATTCTTAAATAAAAGTTGTGACGTTGTCAAACAGTTTTGGAAGTTGTGCGTTAGGTAAAATTTGTGTTAAATAAACTTTTTGACCGTCGTCTTCGTGTGTTCAATCTGTCAGGGTGAGCCGACAAGCCTGCGAGGAGGGCCCGGTGCTGGAGGAGCAGGAGACGGAGGGTCAGCGCCAGCTGCACAGCCTCCTCCTGCATCAGCTCCACACCCACGTCGACATCGACCGGTCAGAACCCGCCTGTTTGTGTCTCGCTTCACCGTAAAACACGACTCGAAAGAAAGATTCAAACCAGCTGTTTCTGCAGCAGTCATTCAGGTCCAAACCAGTCCAGGGGTTTTCAGTACTGTGCCTGTCGCATAATCTCTGTCCAGCAGAATTTGTACCTGCAGCGCACACACAAGTAGCAGAAATGGATGCACTTAAAAAATATCAACATGGCAACACATTCATGTTTCAGTTAATTATGACGGGTTTAAAAAAATCACCGTTCAGCTCATGACGCGACGACTGTTGATCTCAACATTTCTTCACGTCTTCCTGAGTTTATTCTGAACTGAGTTTATTCTGAACTGAGTTTATTCTGAACTGAGTTTATTCTGAACTGTCTGACAACATCCTGATTCATGCTCAGTAATCCAGGTAGTAAAAAGTAGGTGTCTTTGATAACTTTCTTAATGATAGATAATGTTAATGTGTAACGAGTGATGGAAGAATGGAGCGTGAGATTGACAGACGGATTGGTGCAGCATCTGCAGTATTGTGGACTCTGTACTGGTCCGTTGTGGTGAAGAAGGAGCTGAACTGTAAGGCAAAGCTCTCTGTTTACCGATGGGTTTACGTTCCTACCCTCACCTCTGGTCATGAGCTCTGGGTAGTGACTGAAAGAGTGAGATCGTGGATACAGGAGCGTGAAATGAGTTTCCTCTGCAGGGTAGCTGGACTCTCCCTTAGAGACAGGGTGAGAAGTTCATTTATCTGGGAGAGACTCGGGAGTCGAACCGCTGCTCCTTCACGTCGAGAGGAGCCAGTTGAGGTGGTTCGGGTATCTGGTAAGAATGCCTCCATGGCGCCTCCCTAGGGAGGTGCTTTGGGCATGTCCAACTGGGAGGTGACCCCGGGGAAGACAAAGGACACGCTGGAGAGACTATGTCTCTCGGTTGGTCTGGGAACACTTTGGAGTCCTCCCAGAAGAGCTGGAAGAGGCTGTGGAAAGAGATGTCTGGACCTCTCTGCTCAAGATGCTGCCCTCACAACCCAACGTCGGAATAAGTGGTAGATAATGGTTGGATGGATGAATGGATGGATGGATAATGTTAATGTATAAAACACACCTCTAGTCAAATATTGTATTGGTTTGTTTATAAAAACTACATACCAATCACTGCACATGGCTCCAAACTTTAAACAAAAATAAAATGTTTTTGATAATAATTTAACAAGAAACGGCAACAAAAAATGTATATCTATACACCTAACAAGGCTGAGTCAGGTCCTGGACGGGTTCTTCTCTGTTAAAACATTTCGTGCTTTATCCAAAAGACTTCTTCAGTCTTGTTGATTTATTTACCCAGATTATTGCGCATGCATTAAACTCTGTCCAGTTCTGTATTTGGTCTGATATCTAACCAAAATGTGTTTCGCTCCTCGCAACAAATTAAACTCGCATTCTGTTGATCATTGTTGTTTGCTTTAAGGTGACTGTGACTGTTGGAGAATAGTTGACTCACCATAGAAGAGGTGACATTTTCTGAAGCAGCCTCAGTTTTGTTTGCGAACAACAAGCTGTGCAGGTTGTGAGAGAAGTGCTGCCTCAGGTGGAGGTGTTCAGGTATCTCGGGGTTTTGTTCACGAGTAAGAGAAGAATGGAGCATGAGATCAACAAACAGATTAATGCAGCTTCAACCGTATTGCGGACGCTGTGTCGGTCCGTTGTGGTGAAGAGGGAGCTGAGAAGCTCTTTGTTTATCGGTCTGTTAAATGGAGAGCCTCCTGGACGCCTCCCAAGGAAGGTGCTTCAGGCATGTCCAGCTGGGAGGAGACCCCGGGGAAGACCCAGGACACGCTGGAGAGACTACATCTCTCAGCTGGTCTGGGAACACCTTGGAGCCCCCTAGAAGAAGTGCTGTGGAAAGAGATGTCTGAAACTCTCTGCTCAAGCTGCTTCCCCTGAGGCCTGAGTCAAGAACAAGCAGAAGATGATGGACGGACCGACAAGCCATGCAGTTATGTTTGGAGCGGACAGCTTTTAAAACTCGTGGCATATTTCTGTGCACAGTTTGCTATAATACAGTGGACTGTGCATTATTTAGTCGCCCACCTCCACCCACATCATACCTGCCTCAGGCCACTTTGTGTCCACCTCTGCAGCCAAGTTTAATCTACTGGAGAACACTTGTGAAGTGAAGACAGGAAAACGTAGACCTGTCGAAAGGCTTATTGTGTGTATGTATGTGTAGTATGTTGTAGTGATCCAACATTTTTCAGTCAGGTCATCTGGAAATGTCAAACTGGTTCAAAACAACAAAGTCCACGACAAGTCGACGAGTAAGAGTGCCGGCAGCGGAGGGGGGGCGTGCCAAAGAGACCATCTTAGCACCAAAATAACTGGTTTGTTCCACTTTGGAGTAAGCTGTTGGGGGAAGAATCAGTTTTGTGTTGTGTGTTTCCTTGACTGATGAAGCCTTGGTGAAGGCTGCACAGAAGATGTTGGAGTCAGTCTCCCCACCATCACAGACATTTACACCTCCAGATGCAGGAAGAGGGCCACCTGCATCATGAAGGACCACACTCACCCAGCACACACACTTTTTGCCCCACTCCCCTCAGGAAGGAGGTTGAGGAGCATTAAGTGTAGAACCACTAGACTGAGGAACAGCTTCTACCCTGAGGCTGTTAGACTCATGAATCTCTAACCAGAATAATCACATCATGTTGCTGCTGATATGTTTCATGTTGCTGCTGATCTGTTTCATGTTGCTGCTGATCTGTTTCATGTCGTTGCTGATCTGTTTCATGTTGGTGTGTTCATGCGTGCTCTTCTCACACAGACTCATGTTCACGTTTGTGCTGATGTTCGACGTGATGTTTTTATGTTATGAGTGCTTAGTGTAGATTTAGTTGATGTTTTTCTTAGTTCATATCTTAGATGTTATTATTGTTTTTCTTTTACATTTTATTGTTGGATGTAACTGGGACCCTGTGTACATAATGTCGCTCCACCACATGAACCACATGAGGTGTGAATGACAATAAAGAAACTCTGACTTCAGGATTGAAGGTGAAATGTTTCAGCACAAAAAAAGAAACTGTCCAGGTGACCTGACTGAAAACTGTTGGATTGTAAACCTGGATTATTGAGCATGGACTTTGGTGTAGTGATCCGTTCAAGATAATTTAACAAAGCTGCATACACGCATGCATCACCCCTAGCGTGCCACGTACACTTTTCATCACCCATGCTCAGCTCATGTCAAGGACACAAATCAAGGTCAAAGGTTATAAAGGTCTTTGCTTGTCTGAGTCACTGCTGTAGATCGATGTATAACAGTTCGTTGACGGGCAGATAGTGTGCCGTATGTTGCACTCTTGTTTATTAAATATAATTTATCTTTGTCGTGGTATTTACATCTGGATATTTGGGGCTCTAGCCTCAAATGTTTTCTGTTAAAATAAGGAGAGCTTGTGTTCAGGTGTCCAAATGCAGCTCTGGATCTGTAAAACGTACAGAAACTGAACTGAGAAAGATCCAAGACGCCCGCTACAACTCTGACTACCGGTAGTTTGAGAGCATGTTCACATGTCAAGAGACAAGAGAGACCGTTTGGAGACATTCTGGGGACTCCCTCCTGAACAGTCCCAGCCCAGTGAGACGCTGGCTTCAGCTTCTGTTAAGTCATCAGCAGATGGGGACCATATTCAGTTCTAGTCTTTTAAAAGTCCTTGTTTTAACATGGATGTGTTTTATACACACCAGATTTACAGTTTCTGTTTACAGGGTGATTTTAGAGGCTCACCGCTGTAAACGCTTTCCACTGAAATTTGTACCCGTGAGCTCAGTTGGAGGTGAAAGTCATAAGGAAACTGTTGTACGGAAGAAAAAAACTTGTTGAGCTGAGATTCTCTGAATAAAAGTGTCAGTCAAGCACTCCGGTATGTTTCCTGCAGTGTCCTGCAGCAGCCGGCACAATTACACTCAGCCCTCAGGGCCGGAGAATCCGTCGTCTCTTCTTGTAAAACATGTGAGGAAACACGCAGGCCGCTCAGCCAGTAAACCAAATGTCTCTGAGTTTCCAGTTTCTGAAACAACAGAAGTGTTTTATCGTTGCACTGATTTGAACTCGGTCTTGCAGATGTGTGGCCAAGAAGCAGTGCTTCGCCCCCGCAGCCCTCTATCGGCCGTTTGGGGAGCAGGCGGCCGGAGTGAGGAGCCTGTCCCAGTTCCAGGCTCTGCAGGACGGAGACAAGGAGCTGGTCGGCCTGCGGGAGCTGGGCCTGACCGACGCTGAGATCCAGCTGTGGCGGAGCAGAGACGCTCCGGAGGCCACGGAGAAGGTAAAACCTGCGAAGAAGAGGCAAAACAAACGCGTTCACTAACAGACACGTGAGCTAACTCCCGCTTCACGGCCTCGCAGTCCCACGGCGTGCGTGCAGCTCCGGATGCGAGGCGGCAGCGTCTGCAGGTGATCAGAGACAAGATGGAGGCCAGGGCAGAGCTCCTGTCCCGCCCTCAACGCTTCAACGCCAGCCGCCCGCTGTCCCGCCGGGAGATGGAGATCGAGCAGGCGTTGTTTCATGGGAACGAGCGGCTGGGGTTCCTCACGGCGCTCTATCATCGAGGTACGAGCTCCTCGAATCTGAAACCCTAAGCCCACGTTTGTTCAGGGCCCAGAACTTGTTCTGAGGTCAGAAGTAGTTTTTAATAATTAGACGCCGTTATTCTATCACGATTAAAAGCTCCGTCAGTTTTATTTTATTTATGTCCATTTTTATGTGGTCACACGCAGATGGGATTCACTGCCCTCTAATTTTAACATTAACTAAATTAGTTTTATGTTTAAATGAAAAGTTGTGATAGTTTTTTGCCTGAGTCAGGCCTCTGCCCCGAACACAATAAAATCACATTCTTGGTTTTCTTGAATTTTTATAGCGTTTCTGTAAATGTTAAATGATGTCATCTCATCCCCGGCCTTAAATTACAGCCTTCACTCGTCTCCAGTGCCGCTGTAGAAGAGTGGTTTTCTTTGTGCCGGGAACTATTCTGCTTTTTCAGTGATTTAATTCTTAAAAATAACGTCTGGGATCCATAGTGCCTAAAGGAAAGGGAACTTTGAGTCATTGTAAATAAAAGACTATTGCAACTTTAATTCATGGCAGTTAAAGACGATAAATAAACTGTCACATAAAGCCGTCAAGTTAAAGTGATTCGTTTGTTTGTGTCCAGATGAAGATGATAAAAATAACCAGCAGGGGGCGTCATCCTCCGACCCAATGGACTCCGTCTACAGAGATGTTCTCAGCTGCCAAGCTTCTCTTCCAGACACGGAGAGACGGCACAGCTCTGCGACCGACCAATCAGGACGCTCCCAGAGCCTTGACAGCCAATCAGCAGCCTCGTCTGACCCTGGGTCAGATCTGCAGGAGGATCAAAGGTCAGGTTCAAAGGCCTCCGAGCAGCAGGTCACTCCGGACCAGTCAGAGCCTCCTGCAGCTCCTCACGTTCAGATCCGTCTAAACCAGCCAATCGGCAGCCTGCGTGGAGCGGCGGGGGCGGGGCCAGGCGGACCTCTGACCGTCAGAGGAGAGATCCAGGCGGTGACGAACGAAGAGATCCTGAAGAACCGCGGATCCGAGGAGGAGATCCGGAGCATCCCGAGGTTCAGAAACTACCAGCCAGGAAAAGTGTCCAAGGTTTGAGCAGCCGCTTCTGATGACCTAAAAATGTTTTTAAAGCCTCCGAGTTTCCAAAGCAATCAAACTAATTATCATGAGACAAGTCATCAAACAGCCTCATGTTCTCAGTGTACGTCTTCAGAACAATACGCTGACGTGTTGTTTATTTTGAGGAGTTCGAAGAGGATTTCATGTCTAGTCAAACGTTCCTGAAGTTTTGTCCTGTCGTAGGTTCTGTGTGTGAAGAACCTGAGTCCGCAGGCTTCGGTGGCCCAACTGGTGGCGCTATTCTCCAGGTTCGAGCAGGAGAGCGGGCCGCCGGTTCTTTACCGACTGCTGACGGGCCGGCTGAAGGGTCAGGCCTTCATCACTCTGCCAGGTGAGAGGAACCCTTCTGACGAGCGGAGGTTCTGGAAACAGTGGTTCCCAACCCTGGTCCCTGAGGAACACCACCCTGCATGTTTCAGTTGTTTCTCTGCTCCAACACACCTGATTCAGTTGTTTAATTACTCCCTTAAGTTCAGCAGAAGCCTGTTAGTTACACTTTCATCCAAATCAGGTGTGTTGGAGCAGAGGAACAACTAAAACAAGCAGGGTGGTGTTCCTCAGGGACCAGGGTTGGGAACCACTGCAACAGAGGTAAACGGTGAAAGAAGTGTAAAAAAACATAAAGAACCTAAATTTCTTATTTTGTTGAGCTGACTGATCCCAAATATTTAGGAATGAATTCATCGACCGCTTCATGAGTTTAGAGTAAAACAGCAGTTTGAACCAGGACTCTGTGAAAGAATCGTTGAACTGTTCCCGTCGGTGAATAAACGATCCTGTTACATTAAATTATGAGTTACATTAAACGTGTGTCTTTGCTTCCCTTTGACAGACGGCGAAACGGCCCAGAATGCATTGCAGTTGGTCCACGGGTACCGGTTGCTAGGGAAACCGCTGGTGGTTGAGTTTGGTCGAGGGCGACAAGAAGAGGAGAAATAAAAGTGTCTCAGCAAAAAGGCTGAGAAAGATGTAATTATAGATAATATTTATCTTTTTGTGTCCGTTTTTATATTAATAAATCTATTGGACCCAAATCAGTGTTTTTATTTTTTTAATTTTTGAGACATTAAAGTATTTTTTTATATCGTCAAACTTTTTATTGTCAGATTTATACTAAAGGCCTTAACAGATGAAAAGTACAAAGAAAATTAGGAACATAAACTGAAAATAATGCATTAAAATATTTATATGGATGATATTTATTGAAAGTTTTTATATTTTTAATTTAAGTTTAATGTAATGTTATTTTTATCTCAATAATTACTTCCTAGTATAAAGATAATTTTAAAATAAAAAAAAATTCAGTAAAAAATTTAAGATTTTTTTTTTAATTAATATTAATGGAATCAGTATTTCTGTTGTTTCTTGTTCCAGATTTTCTTTCTACAGATCAAGTTGTTCCCTAAAGTAACTTTATTTATTTTATTCATTCATTCATTCAGCTTCACATTACACCAATTTTATTTTAGTTTTTTAGGGGTGGCAATTGCCCCCCCTGGCCTCCCCTTAGTGGTGCCACTGACATGCAGAAAGGCAAGGTTGATGAAATTTGGATTTAAAAAAATTCCTTTGTTATTTTTTGTTCTTCCTGGTGCCTGAAAGTTTGACAACTTAAACACAAAGTATTAAAAAACGCAAAAAAAAAAAACTGGTTGTTTTGTTCAAATTAAACCGGTTTAATCTTGTTTTCAATACAAATCCTTAAAATACTTTATTGCTCTGATTTGATGTTTGAGTTGAGCTTTGTCTTCTCTCGTTGCTCGTTTGGTTTAATTTTACCAAGTTTGAGCAACTGTTTGGTTTTCCTGCTCATTTTTATCACAGTCACAGTTTGTGGTGATACAAATATTAATAAAATCTTCCTGTTCTAACAAACATCTATAATACGATGTAAATCCATCTGAAACCACGTGCCTGTTGCAGTTCCGTGTTGTCGTGAACGCAGATGTTCACATTTCCAAATTTCTCCAGGATGAAAAGTCGGCCCGGTTCTGGTGGTTCTGTGGACTCGGAGTGTTTTTGGCCTTTGTCGTGTTTATCTTTCCCACAGTTCAACAGGGCCGGCGGTCGGAGTCCACGGCGTTTCAGTTTCAGGTCAAATGTTTCAACCCAAGAAGATTTTCCTGCTCAGATTCAGCAGCGGTGTTTAAATGTTGTTCGTTTGTCACGTCTTGTTGAGGAAACATCTGCACCAACATTCTGCGGACAGAAATGAACATCTGGTGCATCTGAATGTTGAACTCTACTGGGATCCATTTCTCTGCCGTGCGTTTCTCGTCCCGCAGTTTTTAATCTTATTTCAGCAAATCTGATCAAAACGTTCAGCTGTTTCAGGACAATCCTGCTCAGATTCTGGTGTTGGTGCAACTTTAGCTCTTTGAAGTATTTAGCCTTTTACATCCTTCAACTCGTTACATCTGTTTACAACCTTTTACTGCTCCGTCCACATTTTGTTCAGCTTCTTTCTGCAAATTTAAACTTTCGGCTGTTTTGTGCTTTCAGATTTTTGCAAGTTTCAACCTTTTCTACTATTTCAGCTACTATATAGCTGTTTTAATGCTATTTTGAGTTTTTTCAGCTAATCTTTTGCACTCATTTCAACTTTTCAGCAAAAATGTGCTCTCTCCACTTCCTTCTGGTAATTCCAGCTTTTCTGATTTTTAGCTACTTTTCAGCTGTTTTTCTGCCAATTTCAGCCTTTTCACATAATTTCTACTCTTTAGTGCTCGTTTTTGTCACGTTTACGATAATGTCGACCCCAAGTAGCAGACTGAGAAGGGATGACAGAGCCAGACGTATAAAAGCAAGTGATCTTTATCTGCAGGGAAGTGAGGACAAGGTGAGAGTCTCGGACGTTGCAGTAAAAGTTTTAAAACAGTAGCTGATGTCTTTGTGCAGGTACCTGAAGCCAAGGAGGAGACGAGGCCCTGGGTCTTCCAGGGATGGCAGAGGTGAGTAACGAGGAGCAGGTTGATCCAGGCTGAAGCGTTTTGATGTTTGAAGGGACAACGTTGATCCACAGGAGAGCCATGAAGGAGCAAGGAGGTCTAGGAAAGACTTGAGCAAGCAGGACACGGGAGTCCCTGGAGGAGATCGCGGGCGGTTGGATGTAAACAGGTTGGTTGAATGAATTACCAAAAGACAGTTGATGTCCCACTGGAAGAACATCTGGCAGGAGCTTTTCTACCCCAGCAGAGCAGTCCTTCTCAATCAGCAGCAGGTGGACTGAGGTGGTTGGTGAGCTGTGCAGAGAAAAACCAGGAATCCTACAACGTTTGCTTCTTTCAGCCTGATTTGGCAAAACTGCCCTCAACTTTTTTTCTTGTATTTTAAGGTATTTTCTGCCTTTTAAGCTACTTTTTAGCTCTTTTTTTTTTGTGCTAATTTCAGCATTCATTTCAGCTAATGTCCTAATGTGCTCGTTTCTGCTCATTTAAACCTAATTCAGGAAATATGTGTTGTTTCTGCTAACTTGTAGCTTGTTCCATTCCAGCTGTTTTTAGCAGGTTCTTCAACAATAAGCATTCGCACTGAGTTTTCACAGGAAATTCAATTTCTCTAGTTTAAGTTCTCACATGCTGCACATCTGCAGAAGAAATAAACATATTTAACCTAAAGTTATGGAATTAAGACACTAGACACCTAATCCCTAATTGCTCCCCGGGTGCTTGCATACCTGTCCACTGCTCCACCTGCGTGTACCCCAGGTGTGATGGGTTAAATGCAGAGAACAGATTTCATCTTTGTATGGGAATGATGACAACACATAGCACTTTAATTATTTATTATTAAAGTGTCGATGCACATGAAGCATGAAATAAGGTCAGTTTTTGGTGACTAAAGTAGAACAAATCAAGAATTTAAAGTTCTGCAGTTTAACGGTATAAACTACGTAATGATCGCACTAAAGAAGGTTTTTATTTGTTCGTGTCTGTCTGCTGTTTACATTCTCTTCACTGCTGCAATCTTTTCCCTGTTCTAGGTTTTTAATCTCATAAGATAAAACAAACAATTTATTTTTAATTATTTATTTATTTAATTATGTTTGTTATCTCATAAGTTTATCTCATATTTTTATCTGATAAGACAAAACACACACAATATATATATAAATATATATATATAAATATATACACACACACACACACACACAAATACACACACAAAATATATACATACACACACA